ATCTTGGTACAGAGTTTTTGTTGTTGTACTCTGTGAGACAGAGTATAACTACTCCACAGGGTCACTATAGGTTGGAACTGACTCGACAGCACTTAACAACAACAACAACAATCTTTACAGGAGCCAATTCAGGTCTTTTCTCCCACAAAGTAGCTGGTGGGTTCCAACCACAAACCTTTTGATTAGCAGCTAAGCTCTGAACCTCTCTACCACCAAAAGCATCACACCTTGGCACAGCGTAACCAAAACTGAACCCACTGTGTTAAGTTGCTTCTGACTCACAGTGATGCTGTGGAACAGAGCAGAATTGTTCCAGAGTATTTCCAAGGCTGTAGGATGGATGGAAGCAGACTGCCCACAGGGCTGGTAGGCAGCTGGTCTTTCTATGGGCAGCCAAGTGCTTAACTACCGTGCCATCAGAGCTCTTTTGGCACATTGTTGTAAAGTGGAATTGGTTCCGACTCATAGTGACCCTGTATAGGGTTTCTGAGGCTTTGAAACCTTGCAGATGCAGAAGGCCTCCTCTTTCTCCTGCAGAGCAGCTGGTGGGTTCAAACCACAGGCTTTGTGGTTCTCAGTGCAATACTTATTGTATATAATCGCTGTTGTCGTTGTTAAGTGTCGCAGAGTCAGTTCCGACTCATAGCAACCCTGTATAGGTTTCCCAGGAGTAGCTGGTGGGTTTGAACTGCCGACCTTGAGGTTAGTGGTCCAGTGCTTATCTTAGAACACCACACCAGGACTCCTCTCCCATCTGTACCCAGACCCCAAGTCCTTCCCTACCTGTGTACTTGTGGACACTACTCCCACCTGTGAGTCCCCTCACCTGGGCTGGTCACGGTAGTGGTGACAGTGGTGGTGGTGATGACTGTCGTGGTGGTCTCCTCCTCCCCACCCTCAGGCCCGACCGGAGGGCCTGGGGAGGCGGTGCTGGGCAAGGGTGGGGCTGTAGTTCCCGGGGGTGGGGTCAGCAGCTCTGGTGCTGTGGGGCCTGCCCCTCTGGTCCCCTTTGGGGTCACAGCTGTTGTCAGAGGCCCTGTCCCTGGCTCAGTTGCCCAAGGCAGGGAGGGTGCTGCAAGAGTCTGGCCAGCTGCAGGGGTGGCTAGTGTGGGGTCTGGATCAGATCCTAGGATAGTCAAGGAAAGTCAGGGCACATGAGGAACAAATTGGGAGCCCCTGGGTGGGAGTCAAACTGAGGGAGAGTGGGGGTCCCCAACTGAATATAAAAGGCCTCCCAACAAGTTGTGGGCCCTTATCTCTCTACTCCCTACTCAACTCCCTGCCTCCTCTCCTCTGAAGACCTCCACCTCCTCTCTCTGCCTCCCAGGTTTCTACCCAGGCCCTTGTACCCAGAATAGCTCCTTGAGCTAGCTCCCCATTCAGATCTGGCTTTCTCCTGGTTACCACTGTCTTCTCTAGTTTTCTCTTTTGTACTCTCTGGAACTCTGAATTTTTCTGTATTCTTATCTCTCTCTGATTTTGTGGCTTTACTAGTCTCTAGATCTTTAGCTCTCTCCCATCATTATTCCTCTGAATTTGTCTAGTTCTGAGTTTCCATCTGTCTTTCTCTCCGTATGCCTTTTGTTGGCCCTCACTATCGCCTGATCACCCTTCTCTGTTTCTCGGGACCCCTGCCTACACTCAATCTGACTCTCTCTCCAACTGTCTGTCTTCCTCTGAATTTCAGTGGTCTTTCTAAGGGGTCTCACCACCACTGCCTGCAGTTTTTCTTTCTCTCTTAGCCTGGCTCCCCAACTCCCAGAATCTCTTCCTTTGCCTCTATTACTCTTGTTACTTGGGGAGCCTCACCTGGAAGGTAGCCCATCTCTGGACCTCTCCTTAGCAGAGCCCCATGGAGCAGCTCAGCCAGGGCCTCTGTGGCCACTGTGGGGGTCTCGCTTCCAGGTTCAGGCAGTGCCTCTTCCTCTGTCAGGGGCAGACCTAGGAAGTGGAATTGTGTGAGTCCCTCCCCTCCCCACACACCCCTCCCTTCTTTAGCAAGATCATTTCCAGAGCTCTTCCTTCTTCCTTATTCAATCAGCTAGTCCTGAAGGGGCTCACAGGGTCCCAGGATGGGCTGAGAGCCAAGGTTGGGGGAGGGGACCCCAGCTGCCTCTCCTGCTCCAGTCCACACACTTTCCCTTTCCCCCAGGCTGCCGGTCCTTCAGGAAGCACTTGGCTCTCACAGATCTTGGACAGCGCTATCAGGTCAGAGCCCCCCACCAGGCAGTGTAGCCTTTACTTTCACCTCAGTGGGTTCTTCCTCAACTCTGGGGCTCTGCGGAGGGTCTGTAGCCTACCAGGCCTTGCTTTCTCAGCGCCCCAGCTTTCGCTCTGGATTTCTGTCTCTTCAATGTGTCAGCCCTCCTCTCTCTGGTTATCTGCAGTCTCTGCCTCCTTCCCTGAAGTCTGGCTGGGGGTCAGAGTGGGGGACTGAACAGCTGGTTCTGAACCCTGTCTCCAGTGTCTTTGTCCATATGTCCAAGAACATTTGTGTATGCAGCGCCTGGCATCTCTCCCAGCACCTCCATCTCCAATCCAGGTATCCTGCGTGCTTCTGACGCCTCCGCAGACATCCCCACCCCCAGCTTCCCCAGCCCTTATTCCTGGATTTAACCCCTAAGACTCGACTAAAAGCTTCCCTCATTCATTTTTCTGTTGCCTCAAGATGGGGATTTAGGGGCTCTGGAGGCAAGTCTGAGTGTCCTGTTGGGCCCCTTTCCTGTCTGCCTTACTCCTCAGCTCTCTCGCGGGCTTGCAAGACCCAGGCAGGGTGTTGGAAAAAGGAAGACGGAGGACTCCCTCTGGGGGCCGTCCCAAGGCCCACCCCCATACTCTCTTGTCCTTACCCTGAATCCAGGGACAGCTCAGCAGAATCAGGAACAGCAGCTGGGGAGGCGGCGAGTACTGGGCCCTGGGGGTGCCCATGGCGACTCAGAAGATTTCTATCCTCTGCGCCTTTCCAATATAATTGATCTAGTTGCCACCTTTCCTCCGTCTCCTTTTATCTGTCCCTTAATTTTTTTCTCCTGTTAGTGGTCAGCAAAGAAGACAATTTCTGTGCCCCTGGGATGGAGGGGTGGAATTGGGCTGGGGGGCGCCTGAAGGCCCCCCCTTGCCCAACCTCTTCCGTCTTCTGCTCCCGAGTCCGTGGCAGAGGGGGCGCGGCTACGACTGCAAGGGGTGGGGCCGAAAGGGCCGAAAAGGCCGGGTCGCCCGGGTTACTCTTGCTCAGGCTCCTGGGTCCACCCGTCTGGCTGAATCCCGAGCTGGGGATGTGGAGAGAGGCAAGGCGGCAAGGTTTGGGTGGGGTTGGAAATCGGGAGGGTCTCCACTGGGCTCTAGCGGGGCTTGGCAGGGAGGGGAGGGGGCTGCGGAACCCGGAGAGTCGAAGCTCGGGCACTGGGGCTGCGGGAGGGAGAAGCGGAGAAAAGTGTCGAGCCACGTCAGATCCTGGGGACGAGCGAGAGGAGGGGCCTAAGACCTAGGATTTATTTATTTGAGGGGGGGGGAGGAGGAAGTGCAGAGGGAGGGAAGAAGGAGGGACCATTTGAGAAAGGACCGTAACCCTGTTGTTAAGTACCGTGGAGTCGGTTCCGACTCATAGTGACCCTGCACAGGATTTCCGAGCCTCATCTGTTTCTCGTGGAACAGCTGGTAGTTTCGAACTGCCGACCTTGAGGTTAGCAGCCCGATTCATAACCACTACGCTACCAGAGCTCCTTCCCGCAGCTCCTAGGGGAGGCAAAATATAAACGATCCGGCCCCAACAGTAATTACGTCCCCTTTGCCCCGCTATTCCAGCACATCTGGAATCAGAGTCTCCTTTTCCCAGCTGGGTTCGCACTTGCTTTGCCCTCCAATACACCCCTTCCCCACATTCAGACTCCTCATGAGACGTCTTCCTTTTTACAGAAGCTCATGTGGAATGGCCTTCTCCCTATCCCAGGAAAATGGCGAGTTTTCACGTCCGTGAGAAGTCTAGGCTGACAGGACACAGCCTGGGGAGGGGAGACACAATAAGCCCCCGGTCAGCTGCCAAGCGACTGCAACTCTGATTTTTCTCTTCTGGGCTCCCACACACTCCCTCTGGAGTGCGCTGTCTTCAGCACCACCAGCGCGCGGACAGCTCTCTTCTTGGCTCCGCCAGAGCAAGTCTGCCAGCGATTGGCTGAAGCCGCTTTCACGATCAGGTTCGATCAGGTTCGCGCCTAGGGCGGAATTCTAGCGAGGGCGAAAGGCGAGAGAAGCCACAGGCTGACAGATGGAAGGACGGATGGATTCACCTACAGGCCGCGTAGCCCCAGCCCCGGTACCCGAGCGCCTGCCCTGTCAGTCTGCCCGCTCGCACGGCCCTGGGATTTGTCCCGCCCCCGCTCTCAGGCCCCTCCCTCTTCTTTTCGCATTGCGGGGCGGCTGGAGGTTGGCGCAGTGCCCCCTGTTGCCCCCACGTGGCGCCCAGTGCGAGTGAGAGGGGGTGTGCAGATCCAAAGATGACTCCCCTGCTCCCCCTCCCCGCCCAAGCCTGAGTTGCCACTGCCTCGGGGCGGGGGCGAGGGTAGCAGAGTTGAGAGGGCTCCAAGGAGGGGTGACGTCAGGGTGAGTGGGAGCCGAGGAAGGAGCGAGTAGAAAAGAGGGAGCGAGAGAGAGGCAGGATCAGTAGGCCTAGAGAGAAGCGAGGGCAGGAAGGAGAAGGGGGGAGGAAGGAGAGAAAAGCCGCCGCGGAGGAAGGCAGGCTACGGGTTTCCGGGGCTGCAGGTTCAGGTGGAGTACGAACTGCTGTCCAGGGAAGCTAGAAGGAAAGGAGGGAAAGAAAGATAAAGCAAAAAGGAAGGAGAAGAGAAGGAGAGACAACGGTGGAGAGAGGGGGAAGGGAGAGGGAGAGAAGTTAGAAAGAGGAAGGACAAAAGAGATCGAAGGGGGTTCGCTGTGTATTTAGGAGAGAGGGAACACAGAGAGATACACGGAGAAGAGACCCCAAAAAGAGAATTAAAAGTGGAAATGTGGAAGGGAGACAGCCTAGGGGGGATTCAAGGAGCGGCCATGGAGGGGACAGATGGAGAGTTGGGAGGACAGGGGAACCTGGGTCTGGGGGATGCCCCAGGCCTCTTGACCAGGGCTTCCTTGCCCATCATGCCTCCATGGCCCCTGCCCCTGGCCTCCTCAGCCCTTACTCTGTTCCTTGGAGCCCTCACTTCTCTTTTCCTCTGGTACTGCTACCGCCTGGGTTCCCAAGAGTTGCAGACACTGGGAGCTAGGAGCCGGACTGGGGCTGTCAGTGGTGGTCCTGGGGGGTGCTCTGAGGCTAGCAGGCCATGCCCAGGGAGCACTAGAGACCCTGGGGAAGGACCCAGGACAGAAGGCCTAGTGAGTCGTCGGCTTCGAGCCTATGCCAGGCGCTACTCCTGGGCTGGGATGGGCAGGGTGAGGCGGGCAGCTCAGGGTGGACTAAGTCCTGGGGAAGAACCAGGGGTCCTGGGCATTCAGCGTCCAGGCCTTTTTTTCTTGCCAGACCTGCCCTCAGTCCCCTTTGTGCCACGTGATGCCCAGCGGCATGATGTGGAACTCCTGGAGAGCAGCTTCCCTGCCATTTTGCGGGACTTTGGGGCTATAAGTTGGGACTTTTCAGGGACTACCCCTCTGCCTCGAGGCTGGTCCCCACCCCTGGCCCCTGGGTGCTACCAGCTCTTGCTGTACCAAGCAGGGAGGTGCCAACCCAGCAACTGCCGCCGCTGCCCAGGAGCCTATAGGGCACTGAGGGGGCTACGGAGCTTTATGAGTGCTAACACCTTCGGCAATGCTGGCTTTTCTGTACTGCTGCCTGGGGCCCAACTTGAGGGTCGCTGTGGGCCCACCAATGCCAGGGTCAGATGCCATCTGGGTAAGTAGATGCTGCCTACAGACAACCTCCTTGTTTCAGGATTTCCCCTTCAGGACCTCTTCTCTGCCACCAAAGCTCTCTGCTCAGAATCTTCCATTACTCCCTACTGTCTATAGCAGCATTTTCTGAGCTTTATCAGCAAACCATCTTCATAAGTATCACCATGGCCATTTGTCATATGTTCTGTTTCTTCACAACTCCACACCCCCTTTTACTTATTAAAAAAATAACTTTGTAGAACTGTAAATGATAATCAGTATTACTTGCCCTAAATAGAAAGCACTCATAAAACAATTTTAAACTTGAAAAAGGAAAGCTTTAAAGATTCTAACAAAATACTCTTCTCTCTCTAAGCTCGTTATACTCTTAAGTTTTCAAAAGGGGCAATGTTAATGATGTGTTAAAGTTGTGGTCACACTAAACTGATTTTCTTTTTGATGTCTTAAAGATTGGGGGAAAAAAAGGGAGGGTGGGGACAGTTTTCTTGTTATTTAACATCATGACATGGTTTAGTCTAAAACCATCTTCTGTGCTCCCAGTTGGATGTGTCCTACACTTTGGGGCACACTGACCTTCAGGGTCAAATCTAGCTCTTTTCTCATCTCCCATGTTTGTTTTCCCCGCTCTTGCTGTGCTTTGATCCCGGAGACCTCTGGCTGATGTTGGCACATGCACATGCTGGTCTCTCAACCTAGAATGTCCTGCCCCCATCATATCCCGAAAAACTGCCTTCAGGACTCAGATTTTCAAGTGCCAAACCTCATTTGGGATGCCTTCCTGTTTTTATCAGTTATCTGCTCAGTTTTCTCATAGCAGTTGACAATGTCCTGGAACAGGATAGAGCCATTCATCACTCAGACCTCTTCTGGGAGATATGGCCTAGCACCTTGTAGGTTCAGAAAGCCCAGGAGGACAGGTCACTTCCTCCATGAAGTTTTCCCCTTTTCCTCCAACAGGATAGATTGTGCTTTCCTCTGCATTTGCTCTATCTCCTAGCACTTTTATCCAGTATTGTTGTGATTGTTAGGTGCCGTCAAGTCAGTTCCAACTCATAGGGACCCTGTGTACAAAATGCAGCACTCTACTTGGTTCAGCGCCATCTTCACAATCGTTATGTTTGAGCCCATTGTTGCCACTGTGTCTACCCATTTTGTTGGGGGTCTTTCTCTTCTCTGCTGACCCTCCGCTTTACCCACCATGACTGGTCCAGGGACTGGCCCTTCAGTATGGTCATTATTCTCAGGTCACCTCAGAACCTGGCATTTAACAGACCCTCAGATTGCGTATTTACTAAACAGGGTGAGCACGCTGGATAGAAGCAGGGGTGTTGGATGCCCAGCTCTCTTTTCACAGGCCTGAAGATACCCGCTGGCTGTGAGCTGGTGGTTGGTGGTGAACCCCAGTGCTGGGCTGAGGGGCACTGTCTTCTGGTAGATGACTCCTTCCTGCACACTGTGGCGCATAACGGTAAGGGGCTCCCATCCTGCCAGGAGGGATAAGGGACTAAAAAGTGAAGGGCGAATAGACTAGAGGGCTGCAGGATCAGGCCCAACCCTGTCCTGGCACAATTTTCCAGCTGCATGACCTTGAACAAGTCACATAACTCCTTCAGTCACCAGTTTCACAGAAATTGAAATGGACAATGTCTTTATCAGGTGACTGCAATTGTTAAGTAATATAGGTGCTCAGCAAAGTGGCTAACAGCACAGGATGCTGGGCCTGGACCACCTGGGTTCCTGTCCTCGCTGTGGTAGTTATTAGCTATATGACCTTGGGCAAGTTACTTCTCTAGGCCTTAGTTACTTAGTGTAAACTGGGCATAATGATAGTGCTACCTCATAGTTTGCCCTGATGATTCAGAGTTGATATTTGTAAGGCAGGGCCTGGCACATATTTGCTGTTTGCATTTATGAGTATTTGGTGAGTGCTCCTGACCCAGAAGTATCAATGTCTGCTGCTTTCCTCTCTGTCCCCATGTTTCCTAGGGTCTCCTGAAGATGGGCCTCGAGTGCTCTTCATTGTGGACCTCTGGCACCCCAGTGTAGCTGGGGCTGAGCGCCAGGCTCTTGACTTTGTCTTCGCACCAGACCTTTGAAGGGGGGCTTCCTTCAGACACCTGGGCTGGAGAAATGCTGTACTCAGGGATGACCTGAGGTGTAGCCACTGCAAGAGTGGGTGGGTCTTGAGGGTGGGAACGGGAACCGGCCAGAAAGCATGAAATACAGATTCTGAATCTTGTCCTGGTTCCTGACTCCTTCCTTCCCTGCAACCAGGCCCGGAGAGGCTTGGGACAAGGGCTCAGATTGTCACCTAGCCAACAGCCAGGTACCTTTTTAACACAAGCCATCTTCCCGTCCCTCTTCCTGGAAGCCAGCACCAGACCCTCACCTCAACTTTATTCCAATAATTTAATAGAAAATTAAAATAATAAATAATATGAAACAAATTGAGAAGACAGCTGAGCTGGTACAGGCCCAGGCCAGCCTAGTACAAAGCTAAGGAAGTAGGGGAAGGAGCAGGAGGCTGCACATTGATGAGAAGGTGGCTCAAATGTGCTGTGTGTTATTAAGGGTTGGTTGACACTTTGGCATGTACAGTGTACTTAAAAAGGGGAAAAGGAATTAGAAACAATTCGAAACCAGCTAGTAAAGGAAAGATAGCAAGGCAGGAATGGAAGTGAGTGGATGACTGTAGAACTTCTGAAGGGTTCTGCTTGAGGCGAGGATCTGGAATGTACCGTTGTTAGCAATGAGGTGGGAACCAGTGGAATGGAAACTGTACCATGCAATGTAGGGACAAAAGGAAGGCCCACGACTTGGCCAGCAAAGTCGGGGCAAAAGTCTGGGATTACAAGGAAAAGAGAAAGGGACTAAGCCCCAGGAGAAAGAGGAAGGCAGGGGGAGGGTCAGAGGTCAGTCCTTGAAGACGATTTGCTGGCCATGAGGACGCTCGTCATGGGTGATGTGGCGCCGGACATGGATTCTGCGGACACGGTGCTCTCGGTTCTCCTCATCCTCCCCACGGCCTGCCCCACCACCTCCAGCAGCACCCCCTATGGCCTCCAGGAGGGCAGGGTCTGGGCCCCGGGGAGTCTCGTAGATCAGGATGTTCAAGGTCTCCTCAAAGATTCGAGCTTCTGGGAACTCCACCTGTAAAAGGCCAGCAACTCCCAGCTCCTACCCTCTGGTCCAGTCACACTGCCACCCCCTTTCCCCAGCCACAGGCATGCTGCACACCTCCTGGCCTTTGCAGTCACAGGCTCTGTGGCCTGGGCTGTCCTCTCTGCAGCTTCCTGGTTCTACAAAGCTTACATGGAAGTACTGGCACTCCAAGAATCAGTTCTGAAATCAGGCTGCCAGGTTTCTTTCACTTGACAAATATTTACTGAGGGACTATACTCTGCCAGATGCTGTTCTAGACCCTGGAACTAGAGCAGTGAACAAAACAGAGAAAACTGCTGTCCTCAGGAAGCTGATATTCTAGGGGCAGGGCTTAGACACACACTTAATAATATGGCAGGGAAAGGGAATGAGACTAGCCAGGGCTATAAGTGTTGCAACTTTACAAAGAGGGAGGTCAAGGATGATGACGTTTGACCAAAGGCCAAAGGAATGGCAGGAGGGAACCAGGTGGATGCTAGGAGAGCAGTTTGGGAAGGGGCCATAGCGAAGCTTGGCAACAGTAGTGTGCTTACTGCATCATTTGAAGACCAGCAAGGAGACCAATAAAGGAAGAATAAGAAAGGAGGAAATCAGAGGTGATGGGAGGGGGGTGTGTCCAATTGTGACACCTTATTAAGATGTAATGAACCTAGCTCTTAGCCAGTTGTACCCTAATAACTAGCTTGTCATCAGGTCTCTCCAATTACAAAGGAAGCTGCTTGGGAGTTGGGCTATTCACTTATTCATGAAGTCAACAATAAATGCTTCCTAGCTGTCCCATGTAACGGGCTGGGTGAAAATGCTAGGAAATAAGAAAGAAAAAGACACATGCTGCCTGCCCACAAGGAGCTAACACTCTGCTGTTGCAGCCACATCCCCAGACTACCACAAACACTGTACTTAGCCAAGATGACCAACTTTGACATTGTTGGGTTGGAAGTTCACAAACAAAGGTATCCCAAAGAAAGTGATGCTTGGCTTAGGGCTGAAAAAAATGAAATACAACTTCATTAGGCAGATAGAGATGAAGAAAAAGAATTTCAAGAAGAGGGAAGAATATGTGCAAAGGTGGAGAGGTGTGACGTAGCACAGGATGCCGAGACACTTTAAAGCAAGTTGCTGTGGTTGAAGCACTTCCTCAGATCAAGGTCAGAAGGGACCAGACTAGTGAGATCTGCAAGAACCAGATGACAAGAGGCTTGTACTTGACTCAGCACTATGTTCACCTTTGTTTGGATCTGGCCTGGTGCCCTGCTATAGTAGGTGCTCAGAAAGCATCTGCTGATGAGTGCCAAGTTAATGACTCAGGATGGCAAACCCAGGAAGTGCTCTAAAACCCTATCTGGTCCTCAGGTTTGATGAACTTAATTGGTATGGTGGACTTTTCTGAGGTTCTAATGGCAACTACAGACTCACTACACAGAAAAATGCACATACTCCTAAGTCTGCAGATTATTTCAGGGGACTGCAAATAGTCTTGAAACCTACTCCAGCACCCTCATTTCCCAGATCCCTGGCTCCAGACTCCCAGTGATGGGCTTTTTCCAGTCTGTTGAGCTGCCTTTGTCCAGGATCCTAGTCCAGCCCATACCTCGCCCCCACTCCCCACCCAGCCAGGCCCTGAATCCCTTCTGACCTTGGTCTGCTTCTTCTCTGTGGCATAGACAATGGAGGTGCAGCACACCTCAGCGATTTTGCGGCCCTGCCCGTAGAAAGACCAGCAGCAGATTTCATCCCCCAGAACATCCTTGAGGAAGAGCAGCCGCCCGTGGAAGCGCAGGGCCAGTTTGTCAAACAGCTCGATGTTCTTAAGTAGGTTGTCATCTGAAGTGCTGAGGACCAGGAGGCCAGGAGGCCTCAGTACAACTGGTCTCCCTCCCTCTCCCCCCATCCCCCACTCCAGCACAGGGGCCCAGACTCCCTGCACTCTGGATCGTCCCAGGGCTTTGGAACTTCCTCCAGCCCTAGAGCCAGGCTAAGTGGTCTCAGAAAGGGAAGTCACATTTACTAGCAAATCTCTGCACAGTAAAGTGGCCACACACACACACACACACATACGCACGCTCTGGAGCTGCCTAACCTGATATCCTAGCACTACCACTTTTTAACTGAGTGTTCCTAGGCAAGTTACCTCCCCTCATCTAGAAAATGGAGATCACAGCAGAACCCACCTCTAACAATGTGAGAATTCTGTGTAATACAGGTAGTCAGTCCCCAACTTACAAGGTATTAGGACAAACCCCACCTACAACTGCTTTTTGGGTTTTTTTTTTTTTGCTTACATAACATGTGCATAATTCCTAGTTGTTGTTAGGTGCTGTGGAATCAGTTGTGACTCATAGTGACCCTGCACAGTGTTTCCGAGGCTATAAATCTTCATGGGAGCAGATAGCCTCATCTTTCTCCCGCGGACCAGCTGGTAGTTTCGAACTGCTGGCCATGAGATTAGCAGCCCAATTCATAACCACTATGCTTTCTACTCCCGTAAAGATTTACACCCTCGGAAACCCTGTACAGGGTCGCTATGGGTCGGAACCGACTAGAAGGCACTTAACAACAACAACAAATGCTACCAGAGCTCCTATAATTCCTCATAGTATAGTGGATTATGTGTTGGACTGCTAACCACAAGGTCAGTGGTTCAAACCCAAGGGCCGTTCCATAGGAGAAAGAGAAGGTTACCTGCTCCTATAAAAATGTAGTCCCCAGAGACCCTTTGGAGCAGCTCTTCACTGTCCTTTATGGTTGCTATGAGTCAGAATCAACTTGATGGCAATGTGTCTGGGGAACTTGTATAACTGGAAATTTGTTGTTTGTTAAATGTCATTAAGTCGCAACTATCTGTGTTGAAGCTGCAAGTTTACATGTAATCTTTTCAACCCCCCAAAACAAATAAAGATTTATAAAGATACTGATAATAAAAGGCAATCATATTAATAACTAAACAAGCAAATCATTCAACTTACATAAAAAAGTAATTACAGCAGTGTTGTGGGAATCCCACTATAAGTTAAAGACTACCTGTGTATGTAAGCCATTTAATGCAATACCTGTTGTAAAATAATCCTCACCTGGACCCCACATTACCAAAAGTAAACACTGAAGCTCAGAAGTGAAAATGACCTGCCCAAAGTACCCAGTGGGAAAGTGGCCGAGCTAGAATTGGCACTTAGGCAGGCATTCTTCCCATTTGAGTGGCAGGGCCCTCCCCTTGGGCCAATAGCAGGGTGCTGCTGGATCCCAGGCGCCCACCCAGCACATCCCCCAGGGGCGGGTGGTCACCTGGTGTAGGAGTACTTGTTGTTACTGCGGTTGTGCACGAGCTTTACCACGGGCTGTCGGGGGAGAAAGGATGGAGAAGGATGGGGCAGGTTGGAGACAGAGGCTCCAGCCTCCACCCCACAGGACTCAGGGGCCTCACCTTGGAGGTGCTAGCCAGGAGCTGCTGCTCCTCCCGGGGAGAAGTCACCGTGGGGATGAGGCACAGCGGGGAAAGGTTCTCCCTTTTTTGCTGGGGAAAAAGGGGAAGGTGATTAACAGCACAATCAAAGGCCACTCCCCCACTTCAAAGCCTTAAAAACTTGGCAGTTGTCCCTGGAGTGAGGCTGAGGATCCCATACTCCTTCGAGGGCCACAGGCTTTGCAGGATCCAATTTCTGTTGAATCTTTCTGATCTCCTTTCCTATCACAGCCACCTTGCTTACAGGACTTGAGCCCTACTGGTTTCTTCATAATCTAGCTATGCTCACTCTTGCCCTCTGTTGCTCCCCTTCTCGGATAGCTCATCACCCAGTTCTTTGCCTGGCTGCCTCCTTCGGAATAAGGTATCAGCTCAAGTGGTTCCTTCCCATGGAGTGCCAGTCCTTCTCCCGAAGTTCCATGCTGCTTCCTCCTCTTCACATTTGTTCGTCTTCATAGCATCTTTCACATTTTTTTTGTGTCTATATGCTTATGGTCTGTTTTTTCCTACCTACTGAGTAAGGCAATTAGTCCATAATGGCATAATGGATACTCAATAAAGATCTGTTGAATGGGTGGACCTGGAGGCAAAATTAGGGCCAGACACATGGGCTACTTTGTCTTCTATCTTCTCCTAGGATTTTCATGGCAAAACCTTTCCACCTCTTCCAACCTAAAAATTGTATGTGTAATTCCAAAAGATTTTTTTTTTTTTTTTGGCAAACTCATAAAACTTATTCTAAAATTAATATGGGAAAAAATATATATGTTTAGGTCAAATTTTTAAAGGAAGAGTAAATAGGAGAGCTAGACTACCAAATATTAAGATAGCCTATAAAGACATGATAAAAAGTGTGGTCCTGGTACAGAAACAAATAAGCCAATGGAACATAACAGACTCATCAACAGATCAGTGTGCATGTGAGAACTGGGGATGTACAAGAGGGATACCACAGACCAGTGGGGAAAGTATAGATTGTGTTGGTCATTTATTGCTACCTAACAAATGATCCCCAAATTTAGCAGCTGGAATAAATATTATCTCACAGTTCCTGTGGGTGAGGAATCCAGGAGTGGTTTAGCTGGCTGACTGTGGCACAGAAGATCTCATGACGGTGTAGCCAAGAATCATGTTGGTCAGGGCTGCAGCCATTTGAGGGCCTGCCTGAGTCTGAAGGATGTTTCTGAGAAAGCTCACTCATGCCAGCTGTAGGTAGGAAGCATCTGATCCCGGCCATTCAGACAGCTCCACAGAGTTGCTTCCATGGCCTCATGACACGGCAGCTGACTTCCCTAGAGCAAAGGACCTGAGAGAGCAGGGCGAAGACCACCAGGGGTCTTTTTTTTTTTTCATCTTGCTTTCATTTTATTGAAACTACTACAAGATTTCTGGCATTTCAGATTCCACTTTGCATATTTTCTTCTATTTTAATCTTTTCTAAGTCTCACACTAATTCTCAGTTAATACTGAATTATCATTAAGATACATTTGCTGTAAAAATACATACAACACATTTGCCAATTCAACGTTCTTAGGTGTACAATTCAGTGATAGTACACTAAACTGCAACCATTACCCATAAGCACTGCTAAACTCCCCACCACCATATACAGAAATTCACTGCTTCCCAATGACTTAGCCAATCAGTCCCAAGCTCAGTAAACACTGATGTTTGGTCTCTGTACTTTTTGCCAATTCTAGTTTTTTTCATGTAACAGCATACAATAAGGGGGCATCAAAACATCTGTTGGAAAGTATTAACTTCTCACAAACTCAATGCCCCATCATGCATGTTGTTTTGTGCCCATCTCACTCAGTATGTTTTTAAGGTTCATCCATGTTAACATGTACCAACACGTCATGTGTTTTTATCTGTCAGGTCTTTTATGACGTATCTTCACAAGTCATACGCCATAATTTCCCCAACATCCTACTGGCTAGAGGCCAGCCCTGCTCAGTATGGGAGGAAACCATATAAGGGAATGAATATTAAGATGCAAAACAACATTGGGGGCTGTGGTAGAGGCTGGCTCCACAGTCCACCCTCTGGGCCTCATTGATTCACATCCCTCCCACATGGAAAATACACTCAGCTCTCCCAAGGTCTCCAAAAGTCTCATCCCATTACAGCACCAACTTAAAGTACAGACTCCTGTCATCTAACTCAGGTCCAGATGGGGATGGAGCTCCTGAACTACAACTCCTTAAACACAATTCCTCTCCATCTGAAGACCTGTGACCTACAAAGACAAGTTATCTGCCTCCATCCATCTAATAACCAATGGTGGGACAGGTAAAAAGGACACTCTGGTGTAAAAGACAGGGAAGATAGGAGGCATAGCATTCACTGGTCCAAAGCAATTCTGGAATCCACTTGTGTAAATGTTCTAAGTTCCTTGACTCCTACTTCTGTCTAGGAATTATTTTTGATGGTTCTTGACTCTGCTCTGAGCCATTCTTCCTTTTCCATGAACGGCATTCTGTTTGCCTCTTGTTTTCCCAGCCTGTAGAAATCCAGGGGTCCAAAGTCCACTTCTTCTTTTGCACTCTTTTCAAATTGGCCGTGTTTCTACCCAAATAATTATCTTTGTCTCGTGAATCTTACTGGGATTCACCTCCTTAGATAAAAGGACACATCCACAAATCTCTGAGATAAGCCCTTTTCTTTATTGGGTTTGTGCTAAGGCTGCAGACAAACACCATTAACCTTCTTGTTGCTAAGTGCCATCAAGTTGGTTCTGACCCATAGCGACCCTGTATAGGGTTTCCAAGAAGCAGCTGGTGAGCTTGAACTGCCAACCTTGCGGTTCAAGCTGACTTTTCAGTCCAGTGCATTAACCCACAGCACCACACCAGGAGTCTCCTCAACCTTCTTAAAAGTCCTATTATTTTAGTGAATGGTTCTGAGGTATGCTTTTCTCTCCAAAATCTTAAAAAAGAAATTTCCCAATTACATTCTTACTGTCATCTTTAGGCCTTGTTTTCCTGACAATGCCCTGTAGTTAATTTCTGCTTGGAAGCGATTCGTTCATTTTAATATCTTTTGTTATCTGGAAAGACTGGGAATCTTCAAACCCAACAAGTCCTCACTCCTTTTTGTTCAATATTTTGCTCTAGCATACCCTCTCCTTTCTCATTTTACTATAAACAACAAAAAGGCAAGTGACACCTTTAACACTCGGCTTGGAAATTTCCTTAGCTAGATCACTCCACTTATTAGGTAAGTTTTCTACTTTCTATGTTACCACAGGTGCAATGTTGCTAAACTTACACTTTCTGCCAGTTTCCAATACTACTGTGTTCACTCTTCTTTAAACCCTAAGCTTCAGCTTCCTCAAAGGCCATCAAACTTCTATTAAAAGACTCAAAGCTCTTCAGGTTTTCACTAACACTTTCCTCAGCTTCGGCCCTTTTCCCATTTCTAAAGTCATTCCTACATTTTAGACTCTGGCAGAACCCTATTTCAGATAGGAAAAATCAGTATTAGTTACCTATTTCTGTGCAACACATTATGCCAAGCGTAGCAGCTTAAAACAGCAACAAACATTTATTATCTCAGTGTCTGTGGGTCATGAATTTGGGGTTGGTTTGGCTGACTGGTCTTAGTTCAGGATCTCATGAGGCTGCCATCAAGGCGTTGGTCAAGGCTGCAGTCTTCTGAAGACTTGACTTTTCAGACAGTCTGCTCTTTCTATTGGCAACTTTGCACAGACTGTTAGCAGGTATTCTCAGTTCTTTGCTAAGGCAACCTCTCCTTAGGGCTGCTTAAGGATTCTCGCAACACAGTAGTAGCTGGCTTCTCCAATGGTGAATGATCCAAGAGAGAGCAAGACAGAAGCTGCGATGTCTTTTATGGCATAGCCTTAGAAGTCACACATCACTTCCATAGTATCCTATTGGTTATATTTGTCAAACCTATTCAGTGTGGGAGGGGATTAAAGAAGGGTCAAACACACGAGGCAAGAATCACTGATGGCACTGGGAAATTTAGCTCAGGCTCTGGTAGCTCAGTGGTTACGAGTCGGGCTGCCAACCTCAAGGTCAGCAGTTCGAAACTACCAGTGGTTCCGCGGGAGAAAGAGGAGGTGTTCTGCTCCTGTAAAGATTTACAGCCTCAGAAACCCTGTGCAAGGTCACTGTGAGTTGGAACTGACCCCATGGTACTTAACAACAACTATGGGGGACAAAAACCAGTTAAAGCCCTTTGCAATTCACTTTTACAAAGTGAATTCCATTTAGATTAAAACACTTGAAAGTGAAACTATAGAGCTAAGTAAAAAATGTAGAATAGAAAAAAAAAGTTTTAAATAAGACCCCAAAAAGAGACACCATTAGGCAAAAAAAAAAATATTAAGGGATTTGACTATATTAAAATTAAGAATTTTTCAAGCATGTAATGTTAAGGGAATAATAGGATTATAACAATTATTCAACAGTACTAGTGAAATTGTTAGATGAGGATAATCGGTTGATGTGTAACTGACGGCTAACAGATATTCATATGGTGCCCAAATAGCAACACACAAGTTAATTTTTAGCTGGCAACAAGGTAATTTAACTACACAGGAGGATCAAACCACCGTCACCTGAATCTAGCAACCAAATAGGATCATCACTAATGATGGATCATAGTAACAACACTGGACGTCTCTCAATGGGCCCACAATATGAAATATATAATAACATCATCTAAAATGTATTCTGGTCAAAATATTTTACTATCAAACCTTTAAATTGAACTTTTAGTTTTAGACATTTAAGGTAGGGTAGGGCAGGGTAACAAATCAAATGATACTATGAGGAAACGACCAGACAAACTCAGAAGATGGGTCACTCTGCAGGACAACTAGAGGTCTCTTTAATAAGTCAGCATAGTGGTTTTTTTTTGAAGTTGTCAAGGATTTTACTTTTCCATGAATCTATAATCAACACTCATGGGAGCAGTAAGATATTTTTTGTTTGTTTGATTTGTTATCTAACCAAGTCCTACCCATTCTTCAAGTTCAACTAGTTCCTGTCATTTCATGAACTGAACCTTAACTCTCCTGCCA